AGGAGAACAAAGCCACAGATGCTTCTTCCTGCTCCAAAGCAAGCAGGCGGTAGCAGTGATGTGAAGCAGCAGCAACAGCTGGTAGCTATGCTAGAAAGAAGATAACTACACTAAGGGCAGAGACTTTGAGGTGAAAACAAAGGAAAAAGTAATGGATTTAAAAATATTTTCAGCCACCTATTCAACTTGATAGTATGCCCTGTCTCATATAGAACATCTGAATATTATATTCAGTTATCTCTTTGACTGGTGGTTTATAAAAGGAAAATCGCTGTGCATGTTTTGTGGGCAGAGGGGGGAGACACACAATGTATTACCTTTGTTAAAGAACCGAAGAAGAGCATTAACATCTCAGTATTACTAAAGGGGTGGATATCATAATTTTAATTTTAAAATGTGCAACACTCTGTTAGTTGTTTTATGATGATGATGATGGACCATGACCAGCAAAAGACCATTTAACAATGGTTACATTTATAAGACAGTCACAGTGCTAAAGGGGCTGGATACACACACAACATTCTCCCTGCAGAAGAACTATCATGTGTGTCAAAACACATATTAGCATGAAGGTTTCTGTGCACAAGCCCTGCTTGCCATGATGCCATTGCACTAGTGCAAGACCTGCTATGCTAGTGAATAGGCACTTTAGAGTTAGCACATGGGCAGTATCCAACTTTGTTGTACTACAATACAATCCAGCACAACTGTACCCATGGAAATTTTCACTCAATTTGCATTATGTTGGATTTCAACCATAACATAGACACATCTGGCATGAGAAATGGCTACACAGTCACAGTCAGTTCTGCAGTCAAGACTCTCTGCTCATGGCCTGAGTTCAATCCCAGGCTGAGATAGCCAGCTTGAGGTTGATTCAACCTTCCATCCTTCCGAGGTCTGCAAATTGAGCATCCAGCTGGCCGGGGCAGGGGGCAGTGTGTAGCCTGCATAATTACATTGTAAACCACCTGGAGACTGCCTTAAGTGCTATGGGATGGTATACAAGCAGAACACTTAAATATAATTGTTGGTAATGGACGCTGAACTTTCTAGGGGAAATCCTACAATTCTTCAAGATGTCATAGATTTTTGTTGATACTACACCGTTCTTTTCCACTCACTTGTAAAAACGAAGATGGTTGTGACCAAGCCCACAATCTGGATAATGAATAGTACCAGAACGATCCACGTAACTGAGTTTTGGAGCCTGGAATTTGCTGGAGTACCTGCAGAACGTAGTACGGTAGACAATTAACATAAAGTTCAATGGCTTGTTCTAAAGACCAGCATCCTAGCCCTCAAACACTTCAAGGCCCAGGAGATCCCTGTTGAAAGATCACCCTCAGTCACTTCAATGATGCGTCAATCTCTGCATGCATGAGATCTCAGGTGCTGGATCAGTGCTGAAAAGTGCAATTCAAAACTGAAGAAGGGCACAGGAAGTCCACGAACAGAGGGCCCGGCATGAGGACCTTGCCATCTTCCACTCTGGCCAGCAAACATAAAGCTTAAGGAGGGTTCTCTTTGCTTCAGTGCTAGACCACGTACAACACAGTGGGAATCAGCACTCAGCTTCAAGAACAGAAATGGGGAAATGGAACTGATCCCATTGGCTTCCCCTACCTCGCAGCTATTTGCAAGATGAGCAACATCAAAACAATAGACCAAATAAATAAAACCCCAATGTTGTCAGGTTCTCAGCTTAAGCCTTGGATGGAGCCTTTTCAGCTGGTGCTCTAGCTTATCTTCTCCCTCATGCCCCCAGCATTGTCTGCCAGCATCTAATTTAGGGCTAGCTTTGCTCCTGTGGGGAGGAAGAAAGAGGAGCGAAGCTATGAAGGGGATCAATGCCTAGAAGGAGTGGGGATTCCCTTCTTACCAGACTCGGGGGTGAGGCATGGAGAAACCTCAGTCATCCAATGGGGAAAGCTCTGTGAGGCTGAATGAGGTCCATTGGCCTGGAATACTTACTTCTCTCCTTTGCTCTGTAGGCTATAGGAGACACTTTTTCATCCACAAAGCTGACTTTGCCATTGAGATTCTATTTATTTGGAAGGCTGATCATTGTAAGCAACAAAGAGAGTTCATGGGAGGTGTTTGCAGTACAGATACATGTCACTTTTATACTTGTATAAAAAACACAAAAACATCCACTCTTAAGTCCCATCACGCACGAGAATGACCCAGGTCTGTGGAATAAATGGTGGGATTCCTAGAAAAGGTTCTGGAAATACTGGGGTTTGGCCATGAAAAGCTCAACAAAAGTGATGGATTTTTTCTAAAATATAGCATTCCTACCATTATTCATCTTATTCTGGGATTGTCACAGATATTCTACTGGTTACGTACGCAAGTACAAGAGAAATCGTGCATTGAAAACCGGATAATCTGTTCCAATGGGAACGGATTGCCGTCCTTAAGCGAAAATCGCCATAGGAAACATCGCTAAGCGAAACACGGTTCCCTAATTGAAATGCATTGAAACCTATTCAATGCATCTCAATGGGGGAAAAAATACAACAAATTTAAAAAGAGTCGGAACAAAGTCAGATTAGTTTAACAAAGGGTTTATTAAGTGCACTTATGATTTCAAGCATTCTAAACATTTTTAAACATATAAAAAAGCCAACATGAGGCTGTCAAAACCATCGTTAAGCGAAACAGGGGGACCCAAACTGTCATCGCTATGCGAAGCATGGTCCCAAACATCGCTATGTGAAAATCGCCCATGGGGAACATCGTTAAACGGAGCGCAAGATCGCTCCGAAGAAGTCATCGCTAAGCGAATTTGTCATTAAACGAAGTGATCATTAAGCGAGGCACCACTGTATAGGATTCCTATCATTACTCATCTTATTCGGGATTGTCACAGATATTCTATTGGCTATGTACGCAAATACAAGAGAAATCACAGAGGTTGTTACACCTAATTGATAAGGTGCCAGTCAAATGTTAGTTGTGTGCCTGGCCTTGTGCCCAGCTGTGCATCCAATATGTGCCCAGCATACAACCAGCATCTTTTAAATTAGATTCAGTCAGCCATGGCAACATCTGTAATTCCTCTTGTGTAAAAAACCAATAGGATTCCTCTTGTGGTTCCTCTTGCACAAATATACAATAGGGTTTGATGCTCTGTATTTTCAGTTTCAAGGGAAATCTTGCTTCTCTTGAATCAGCAGTTGTTGTTCATCAGAAAAGTAAAATGGACATCGCTGCTAAAGGGAGAAGATGTGATTGAAGGGCTAGAGTTCCTAGGTAGTTAAAGAATTCCTATTTCGGTCCTGAAACTTATCCAACTTGCAAGTAATCAGACTGACTGTGCACGAGTCATACATTCCCTCAAATGGAAACCGGATCTCTTTAGTTACCTAACATTGAATTTAATTCTATTTGTATGCTTGTCATTTTATTGAATTTTAATTTACTGTTGTTTTAAATTGTCCTCTAAGCCACCTTGGGTCTCCAGTTCTGGGGTGGGTGGGGAATGGCATATACTGTACATGATATATGTAAGTAAATGAATAAATTTGATGTCTCAAACCATGAAAGACTGTCTGAAGTACATCTCTCCAACACTGAGCTGCTTTCAGTTCAAATAATTTGCTATTTATAACTTCTGTTTCTACCTTCAGATGACATAATACATGCTTGAGAGTGACAGGACCTCAGACAACCCTAACCAGCCAAAAAGATGAGGAGTTCACCTTTTCCCTAATATCCCATTTAGGTCAGACTATAATTCCCAGATTGCACCCACTTCCTGAAGAGTGGACAGTCTTAAAAGGGCAGGCCCCTGGCCTTGAATTCAGCATTCTAGAGTCACTCAACCAGCACCCAACCTTATTAGCCTGTTCTGTTGAAGAGGTGTCAAGTTGTCCTGTTCCATAGAGGTATATCTACCCAGAAATGCCATTCATAGCAAAGGCATGCTACCTTCTTCCTTGTTCTTTTCCAAGCTGAGGTCAACCCATGTCTCAATCAGCAGTTTTTTTGCATCATCCATCTTGTTTCCGTCAAGTGTTTCTGCTTCACAGAATAAAGAGAAAGGGATGATGAACTCTGTCTTACCTAATATAACCTTCTGAAATCACCTTCTCTGAATGAGTTTTCTAATATGTTCCAACAGAACTCAGATGCAGGGTACAATGTGATCCCATATGGGCAATGTTTAACTATTAGGAGGGTTCATATACGCTTGTATCTAGGGCAAGTCCAATTGAACTCAGCAGGACTTGCTTCTGAATAGAACTGAACTCTGAGAGTACTGTGCAACTGGTATGGCTTGCCTGAGTCTGCTTTCTTGCCATCTGTTGATCCTGTATCTTTGGGAATGAACAGCATATTACAAAGAATGCAGATGCTGATCCAGCTAGTGGCCGTAATATGCCAGAAGGAAGTCCCTTTGCGAAGTTCCTTAGCTAGCTGTAGAACTATGTGTTCTACGTAGAACACAGGTGTTCTGTGAAATTTCTCAAATGGATGCAACAACAAGACAGACACTTGCATGATTCGCAGAGTGCAGGACATGCAACAATGGGCTTAAATTGCAGGAAGACAGATTTTGGTTGAATATCAGGAAAGTCTGGTTAACTGTTAGAGCAGTAAGACAATGGAACCGATGACCTCAAGAGGTGGGGAGTGATCCAACGCTGGTGGCATTAAAGAGAAACTTAGACAACCAACTGGCAAATATTCTTTGATTTGCGGTTCGAAAGCATGCAAATGCAAGTAGATAAATAGGGACCACCTCGGTGGGAAGGTAACAGCGTTCCATGCCTAAGTCGCACTGGCCATGTGACCACGGAAGATTGTCTTCGGACAAAAGCTGGCTCTATGGCTTGGAAACGGGGATGAGCACTGCCCCCTAGAGTCGAACACGACTGGACAAAAAATTGTCAAGGGGAACCTTTACCTTTACCTTTTATCGGGAAAGTCTTCCTAACTGTTAGAGCAGTAAGACAATGGAACCAATGACCTTGAGAGGTGGTGAGTGATCTAACGCTGGTGGCATTCAAGAGAAACTTAGAGAACCAACTGGCAAATATTCTTTGATTTGTATCCCTGCATTGAGCAAGGAGAGGGTTGGACTCAATGGTCTTATAGGCCTCTTCCAAATTTACTACTGTATTCTTTTTCAAATGATGAAATTCTATTTATCAGATCTAGGTTACTAGTATATTCAGACCCCTTCCTTCCCCTGAAAACTAACTGGTGTATGTCTGCCTTCATTTGAATAGCTCTGGGCTAGCATTAGACGAAACTCTCTTTTTAAAACTTCTAAACTCCTATAGTAAGTCCTATAATTTTGCTTCAGGATATCAAGTGTTGCATTTCAGGTACAATGCTAAATTTCTTTACCTGTCCCTTTGAAGGCAGCTGTGTTGTTCCAGTATCCTATAATGAGAGGATGAATTGGCTCTGATTTTGAAGAACTATTCTCCCACCTGCAGGGAAAAACAAAAATCAGGTTTCCCAGCTTCATGCCGCAAAATCAATGCTTCAGTTTCTAACAGTATCTCAGTGAAGAATGTCAAAAGCACTGAAATTTGCAACAGCCTTCCCTAGCTGGGCACCCTCTGAATCTACAAGTCCCACCATCCCCAACTGTGAGGATATGGGTTTTGTAGTACTTTTTTTCCAGAATCTGCAGGTGTTCTGTCTCATCCAGAGGCCTAGCTGTTGTTGTGGAAGAGCACCAAGGCCATATCTCAAGACTGATAAACATAATATTCCTTGCTGATGGCGTACCAGCCTGGGAACCAGAGAAGGAGTTGTGGACAAAGGACCGTATGCTGATTGGATACCATCACGAAGGAGAGACTTTGATTTAAGATATAGAAAGGGGGGGGTTAAGTGTAGGTGTGTGTGTGAGTGTAAGATGGAGGAAAGAAAGTGGATGACAGGTTTAAAGCCTTAGTTGATTGATTAGGAGATTTTTTAGCAATGGTGACTTAGAATAGCCTGGTCATTAAGTTGTAAAGCTACAGTGGGGTCTTGACTTGAGAACTTAATCCGTATTGGAAGGCGGTTCTCAAGTCAAAAAGTTCTCAGGTCAAATCTGCATTTCCCATAGGAATGCATTGAAAACCATTTGATCCGTATCTGCTCTTTTCCGTCCATAGAAACTAATGGGAAGCTGCTATTCCGCCTTCGACCACGAGAGGGGGATATTTTGTTTCTTTTTTTCTTAGGTCAAGAAAGGTTCAGGGAAGGCAGGGAACATACAGTCCAGGCAGGACAGTACCAGGCAGTCCGAAGACTGTCTCCCAATCCACTCTCGAAACGCTGGGAGGAGTGAGGAAGCAGACAGGCCCCCTTTTCACTGGCCAACAGTTAACTGAAAGTTCAAATTTTGCACTTTCCCTGCCTCCCACATGGTTTTTTTCCAGTTCTTAACTCAAATCTAAGTATGTAAGTCAAGTCAATATTTTCCTATGAGAGCAGTTCTTAAGTCAAAATGTTCTTAACTCGAGCCGTTCTTAAGTCAAGACCCCACTGTATTACCTAGTTAATCATTTTATTATTTTATGGGGAGGTCTTATAGCTTACTTAATACTTAGATACTTGGCATTTAACCAGTATAATTTGTATCTTTTTGTATTTTTTCCCGTTTTATAATTTGTACTCTTTTTAAATAAATATTTTATATCTTACCCAAGTGTGATCATCCTTGGTGAAAATGCCTAAAGAAAGTGCTTTGGTCATATGAAAATGCCTAAAGAAAGTGCTTTGGTCACAAGGGCTTTGTTTGCTGTTTTGTTCTTTGGGTGCCCTACTGGTTGGTGTGCAAGGTTCTAAGGACACAGCAAAAGAGTTTTAAGCCTAAGTAACTGAGTAATTAGAAATCTAGGGACAGAAGCTTGCCCATAGTTGCCCAGATCTCCCCCAGTCTACGGAAGAGGTGGTGGACGTTGGGAACTACAGTTTGGCTCCTCTAAGTGGAGAAATGGCTTCTCTAAGGAGACGTGTTTCTGACACCAACCATCTGTCCTGATGTACTGGCTGGGGATGATAAAACATGTAGTCCCACCTATTCCCAAGGAGTCTTGCTTGAATGAGCCTAGCTTAAAACGTAATCTGATTTATTATTATTATTATTGGTGAAATCACACTCACAAAATATATCAATAGAATAATTATAGCAATACTTTTTTTGAAAATTCCATCAAAATAATGTTGATGAATAATATTCACACAGTATTATTATACCAGTATCAAAAAACATTAGCAGTTCACAATTTTAAAAACAGAGTCATAATTCAAAAGCAAGTCACTGATTGTTGTTCTTCTTTTCAGCTCAGTGCCATCTTTGAGGGGCCTGCTTGACTCGCTGTGAAAACCTTATGAAGTGAAACCCTTTTCCCTTCCAAGAGTGATGCAAAGCCGAGACCAGGCTCACTGCTTAGAAAAGAAAGAGCTACAGACAATGTCTCCTCACCATTTTTCCTGCCAGAAAGATCCTCTTGGAGAGAAAGGCAGGGCACAAATAACAAAAATAAATAATTGATAAGTACAGAAACCTTCCTGACCACAGTGGTGGCTTGGAAGGGACCTCTTACCTATTCAGTGGGCTTCCAGTCCCCTAGGCAAAAAAGAATGAAAAAGAGAAATAGACCTTTAGTTCATTTATTGTATCTTACTAAAAATGGCTTAGTTAGAAATAACTGTTTTTAGTACACTAAGGCTGTTTCCAAATTGAAGCAACAAGGAGTCTTGTGGTACCTCAAAGATTAACCAGCTTTTTTGGCCATACATTTTGGAGGAGTGATGGTGACTTATGCAGCTGTATCTGAAGAAAATGAACTGCAGCACCAGACATTCATATCCAATTAAATGGTGTCATAAAATTCCTTGTGGGTTTTGCCCAAACTGCAACACAAAACCAACTTATTTATCTCAAAGTGCCAACACTGCAATTAAAACCCGAATGCTGAGGTTTTAGTTTAGAAAAAACAACTGCTCCTGCACTGCAAGGGTTAAATGCTTATTTCTGCCCCCCCCCCATGGGAGGGAT